TAAAAAAAAAAAAAAAAAAGCAAAGATGGCGAGCGTGCCCTGCATTTATAGGCCTAAGACCACCTGCACCCCTTTGTACCAGGAAGCGCTGTTTAGAACATCTAACTGGAAGTAAACCAGTTGTCCCACTCTTAATGGAGAAATGACGGTGCATTCTTCAAACGGGGTCTTGTGTCAGTGAAAATGAATGAACTTCAGCTCCAGTGAGCAGGGATGACTTTCACAAGCATTGTGCTGAGTGAAAATAAGGGATAGGAGAACATGTACTTGTGGTTCCATTTGTATAACATAAAACATATGCAAAGCAGTGCTATGTCGTCTAGGCGTCCATAGGTATAAACTATATAAAATTAAGGAAATGCAAGGTGATGATGAACATTAATCCCAAATTCAAGAAAGTGTTTGCCAGAGGAGAGTAAGAACCTGGGTGGGGTTAGGAGAACAAAAACTCAAGATCATACAAATGCACAGTTTCTTAAACTAGGCGGTAGACAAACGGGCATGTCTTTTACTAGTATTTTTTATACTGTGTACTCTTTGTGCTTCTCTTAGATTTAATTATCTCTAGAATGTAGAATTGAAATTCTTGGAGAACTGATCCTATAAAAATCTCTTTGATGCTTATAATGATTCTATTAAACCTTCGTTAGAATTTTATATAAATGTATAAACATCCTTTTTCTCTTGATTTTCTCATATTCACTTGTCACTATCACATGAGTTCAAAAATAGCCTGGGATTTTGTTCCTTTCTCCCAACAAAAGTAACGAAACAACATTTATTGAGTATCTTCTCTGTGCACTGCATATGCACAGAAGCCTCACTTGGAATAACTACAATTATAATCCCCGTTTTACAAGCTTGGAGACAGATATGCTTAAGGCCAAGTTGGTAAGTAGCAGATCAGGGACATGAGAACAGTAATTGCAGAGCCCAAGCTTCACATTATGTTGTCTGTCCGGACAGCTACCTCCTTTGTTTTCTTCTCTCTCAGATATCTCTTCTACCTCCTTTCCTCATTTCCATTAGCTCAGTTCATTTATACTTGCCCATTCAGGAAAGAAGAGAGCCTCCAGACATTTACCAACTACTGTGTACCAGGTATCACGCTAGGTGTCAGGGACATAGGGATAATAGAGTGTCGCAGTCAAATTTCCATGAGCTTGCAGAGAAGACTGTCTAGTCCCTGGAGCATTGCAGAAAGCTCTGCTTTCCCTCCGCATACTGCCTCCAGATTGATCTTTCAGATGTGTCACCTTCAGACACTGTTCAAGTCCCCAGTGGCTTGCCACTGCCATAAGGTCAGAGTAGGGCTACTAGCACCCTGTGCAGGAGCCCTGGTGTACCTGCCTCCTTACACAGTCCAAGCTGCAGCTCATTGCAGGTAGAACTCCACACCCCACAACACCACACTCTGTAGCTCTATCACCGTGTGCTGTTCTCTCACTTATACCTCCTCAGTTTCTCTTCATGGAAAGCCAGTCTACCTTTCATTCTCCATTAATTCCTCTTGGTCTTTGAAAACCCAGCTCGGGCTGGGGATGTAGCTCAGTGGTACAGCGCTGGCTTAGTCTGAATGAGGCCCTGGGCTTGATCCCCAAAATGATCAGTTTTTTAAAAAACCAGCCCATCCTCAAGCTTACTCCAGCTATACCCTGTACATTGCTCCCTTCGCTTTCTTTTCTTCATATTTTATTGTTCTTGCATTAAGAACTTTAGGGAAAGGAACAGAGAATTTTCTACCCTGTGTACATGTCTTTAACATATACATGGTACATAATATGCACTTAAAACTTGTTAAATGAACAAGGGAATAAATGGAGGAATTAATGAACTCACTAGATGTCTGCTATAAAGAACACATGGAACTAGATTACTGCTTTATACTACACACAGAAATAAAGATGTTCAGCAGTTTGACGGCCACGTGTGAGATGCTGATGAACTTCTCCGAGCTGCCCAAGTTACATACACTAATGTATGAGCCTGGTTGAAATGAGTGACTGCAAGCGGGACCCTGTCTACAAGGCTCTGGACTTTGGAGACTGGCTTTGACCCTAGTATTTGGTAGAATATTTTTTTATCAACCAGCTCAAATAGTGTTGTCTTGCAGTTTAGATGTGAAACGAGAGCTCTGTCAGATTTTTTCTGATTGGAATAATTTGTACATGAGTAATTCCTTTTCATAATGTAATTAGTATAGTCCCATCCTGTTCTTTTCTTGTTCTTTTTCTTTTCTAATCTTGAAGAAGCAAAACAACACTGTAAGGTTAGCCAAAAATGGGTATTTTTCTGGAGAATTGCTTCAGTATTGCTCTGACCACCTTCCTGACCTGGTGGCTGTGTTCCTAAATGTGGGTGGTGCTTGCCTGCTCGATTTCTTCTCTGACTGCAGGATTGTATTAGTTTCCTATTGCTGCTGTAACAAAACATTATACACTTGGTGGTTTAAAGCAATAAAAATCTATTAGCTCGCAGTTTGGGAGATCAGAAATCAAAAAGAAAACAAAAAAAAAATGGGTCTTAAGAACTAAATCAGAGTGTCAACAGGGCTGTGTTCCTTCTGGAGGCCTTTGAAAAAATCCATTTCCTTGTTTTTGCAGCTCCTAGAAGCCACCTGCAGTCTTTGGCTCAGGGTCCCGTCCTTCATCTTCAAATCATATCACTCCAGTATCTGCTTCCATCACATCTGCTTTGTGTGCTTCCTGTACTGCTGTTTTGCTTCCACAAAGATTCTTGTGATTATATTCAGCTCACTGGATAATCAAGAACAATCTCCCAATCTCAAAATTCTTAGTGTAACCTCATGTGAAAAGATCCTTACAGGGGAAAGAGTCCCTTTGGAGAATTGTTATTTGGTCTCCCTGAGAACCAAATAAACTTTCAGTATTGAGAAGCAGAGTAAATTAGACAGAGTGTCCCCCATTTTGGCAGTGAGAAAACAAACTCCTTCCTGGCCCCAGCCCCAGTCCCCTGCCCCTGTGAAATCCTGAGAGTTCCTGCTGTGACTTTATGGGGGCCCCTTGTCATGAAAAGTCAGCCTCTGTCTTTTAAAGTGTGCACTAGATTTCCCACCCCCTGGACTTAATAAATCTAAATATAGGCACATTCTAAAAGATTTTCACATAGTTATGACTTTTCATCTAATCATGAGGGTTTTTTTTTTAAGCATATGTGTTCCTGCCCTATGCTCTTAATGCGTAAACTGTCGGTGCCCTCTTCTAGTTAAGAAACCGAGGTGGGCTGGAGCCGCTGGTGGAGCTCCTGCACTCCAAGAACGACGAGGTCCGGAGGTACTCCAGCCAGGCCGTCATGGTCTGCGCAGGCGATGAGCCGACGGCCGCGGAGCTATGCAGGCTCGGGTGAGTGGACCCCGCCCCTGCCTCAGAGGGAGCACAGAAGGTGGAGGAGCCCTGGTCAGGGTCTCTGCTGCACTGCCGGTCCACAGCACAGGCCTTCACTCTTGGGGGTCCGCCCAGAGGCAGGGGCTCCCTCCCTCATGCCTCCACTGAGGGTTCCCAGTCCTTCACAGTCATCTTCCATATTTCCTTGCCCGTTTCTTCATCTAATGCTTCCTTTGACTTTGCTCTGCCATGGTCAGACACAATGCTGTCTGTCTCTCCGCTTGGAGGTCAAAATAAAATAAGCAAGTCATGACTGTCATCTGGATGTTTCTCCCTTGCCCATCCCTTTTCATCAGGGTTCCTTATGGAACCTCGTTGCCCGATCTGTTCTTACAAACACCGAATGAGTTTGATTGCCTTTACCATAATAGCAAGTAGGGTGTTTTTTTTAAATTCATACACAGGTTTACTCCATTTACATATATATTATATATATATACATAAAATATTTTATGTCCTAGTTAGTCAAAAAGTTGGAGTCCAGTCCAATACAATGAATTTTTCTAAAAGTGTCTGCTTTAGTCAGCTTTCTATTGCTGTAACTAATAACTGAGATAAATCAGCATACAAAGAGGAAAGATTTATTTGTCTCACAGTTTTGGAGGTTTCAGTCCATGGTCAGCCGGCCCCACTTCTTTCAGATTGTGGTGAGGGAGTACAGTGCCACAGTCACCAAGCAGCAAAGGAAGTTGCTCATCTCATAGCAGTCACTAACCGCAGAGAGGGGTAATGATAGGCTCTCCATATCCCTTCAAGAGTGCATCCCCAATGACCCTGTTCCTCCCGACAGACCCACCCTTAAAGATTCTGCCACTTCCTAATCACGCCAGAGGCAGGCAACCAAGCCTTCAGCACATGAGCCTTTGGAGGATCCTTTCCAAGCCATAGCAGTTTTCTTCGTAACTATTTGAATATGAGTTATTACGAGGCATATGTATTCTCACAAAGGGCTGATCTGTCTTTACCATTCTATCAGTGTTACTTACCGAGAAGAGTAGGGGAGATGTTAGACTTTCCATGTCATTTCTTCACTCAGGATCTTAAGTATATAAACAGGAACTCAAATGTTGCATTACTTGTAGAAAACAAGGCTTCTTGCTTTTATTGACAGGGCTTTGGATATCCTTGAAGAAATTAATCTATCAGTAAGTCGAAAAAATAAATTCAGTGAGGCAGCTTATAACAAGTTGCTCAACAACAATCTTTCCCTGAAATACAGCCAGACTGGCTATTTGTCATCGAGTAACCTAATTGGCGATGGGTTCTATGATTATGGCCGGGTAAGTGGTTGCACTTATTTGTATTTTAGTCTGTGTGATAATTTTTCCTTTAATCACAATACCATTATATTGCCATTTTATAAAGATTGAACAATTTATATTTGTACAGACAGAAATTTGAAAATCAGCGCTTTGTCCTTAACTTTGTCTGGTTATAAGATTTTCCATTTTTCATACAGTTTTACTAGAATCTATTTCTTTGCAGTCAAATCATCTTGCTAATGCCATTCTCCAGTTTCAAATAAGTTCTAAAAGGAGCATTTTAAATTCAGAGCAATTTTAATTCAACTTTCTTACTTTTCAATTTTTTTACTTTCAACTTTTTAAAATAGTAAATTATATTACTTCCAGGGCTTAGTGAATTTTTTTTATTAGCTATAATCTAATTGAAATTAATCCAGTTATAATACTAGATTTTAAAATTTAATGTAGAATGTTGTTTTATTTAACTTCCTTTGTGATTATGATTTCAATATATAATGTGATTCAGTGTTATTCTTGAGAGAAACAGGAAGAAAAGAATTACAGTCTTAAGGACTTTTTTGATGTGCCCACTAAAGTTCACATTTTCTCTTTCTTTTGGAAACCAAAAGCAATCAAGGTCATGAGGGAAACTTTAAAACCCCACCATTTTAGGAAAAACTGGGAAAGCGATATGATTTTGAGACTTCAGAAAATTTTAAAGATGGCCTAAAGCCCCTAAGTTTAGGGAGAAACTGCAGGAGGAAAAAGGAGAAGAAAAAACATAATCAGAACAGAAGTGGTGCAGATCTCAGAAAGTACCATCCCGTACAAAAGGTGGCAGAACTCAAAGGAGCAAAAGCTGGCTGCTTTGTTTGCCAGGCCAATGTGAGACTCAGGGCTGGGCTGGGCCAGGTAGAAGCCTTGTTGGACCAATTTGGTTGAAAGAAACAGAGTAGGCAGGGCTGCAAAAGTTTCGGGTAGCCAAGCTGTACTTGCAGGAAGGAGAGGATCTCAGGGGCAGAGAATCTGAGTAATGAGAAGCAGCCGGCCTAAAACTTGACTTCCTGCACTGCCAGAACTGTTCCCAGTAGCACCCTGTGACACACGCCGGAGCCACTGAGGACATCCGCCAAGAAAACCAGCTCGTGTGGAGTGAACGAGTTGAAAAGAACGGACGCATCACCCCAAAGAGCAGCAAACACGAGTGATTTCACGTGACAGAAGCGAGAGATGCAGGGCTGGAAAGGAAAGTGGAGCAGAGGCGGATCAGAGCCAAGTGTTGGGTGTGATGTCAGGTGGCCTCGCTGAGGGGTGACATCTGAGCAGAGGCCTGGAGGGGCTGAGGGACTTAGCCATGGAGATGTCTAGAAGATTCCCTAGTGAAAAGGCCAGAAGGAGCACACATGCTGGGCCATGTCTGAGGAACACAAGGCCAGTATAGCTAGAGCTGACGACCGGACAGTTTGGGGCTGAACCTGAGAGGCAGCGGGGACCTGGACATGTGAGTCTTGAAGGAAGAATGAAGTGGAAAACTGTGGGAGGGTCTGGGCAGAAGACTGAGGGGATCTTATTTTGAAAAGAATCACTTCCTGTTATTCTAAAATATGGCATAAGGATCTATCTGTCTGTTGATTGGAAAGAGATCGCAGAAGTTCTCCAGTGTAGTCCTGTTATGCCGGGTAGGGAAAGCTGTTCAGGACAGGGCTTTGTCCAGCCTAATTTTATTCATTCTCACAGCACTTTTAATAATCAGGCTCAGTACTTACTTCTGCAGGTGGTAAGTCCTCTCTAAAGTGTACAGGCAGATTTGCAAACCCAAGTACTTTCAGGAGCAAAAGTAGTAGTTATGATGTGAAACAGGCTAAGCTAATGCAGCAAAGGTTGCGGGAAACTGGAGGGAGGTATTCTGCTGAAAAGCAAATGTCTCCCAGCTTCGTGTTCCTAGTTCTAATTTATATATGTACTCTGTGTGTGTGTGTGAACGAATCAGACTCCTCAAACAGTCAAGAACATATCCCATATCTAACAATGAAACTCATGTAGGAAATACTTTTCAGTCCTTAAATTATCTTACAGATAAATCCTGGCACTAAACTTCTGCCACTGAAGGAGCTCTGCTTGCAAGGACCCAGTGATCAACGCGCTGTTCTCTTAATCAACAATAAATCTGTTGATGTGTGAGTACTTTGGAGGGTAGGAGATGCAGGGAAGCACATTTTTGTTTTTCTGTTTGTTTGTTTTTCTATGGATTTCTTGCTTTTGTCCTGTGTAAATAAAACACCGGTGCACAAACTCCTAGCCTGACATCGAATAACTGTGAAACAACCGCTACCACAAATCCAGCATGCTCTCTGTTTTCCTTTGACTCCCTCACCAAATGCCAGTGGACGTCTGACCTTCAGACTCTTACCCTTGGAGTGGCTGAAGTGTAGGGAGGGCATACCAAGATGAATTCTGTCATCTGCAGAACCATGTGCTGGAGTGTAACTACCACCCACCACTTTTCTTTGAAATAAATAAATGGTAGAGCTAAACATGAAAGCTTTTACATTCTTGAAAATGACCATACATATCTGTATATCCATACAGTACCTGTATATTACATTTTATACATATATTTCCTGTCCTAGCTTGTGAAATTGTGATAATATTCCTTTTGTCTTAACATCCTTAAGCTTTCAAAATAGCATGGCACTGTTTAAAGTCTACTCCAAATATGACTTTCAGCAGGAAATTATTTTATTGTACAAAATCCGTATTGATGACTGAATTTTAATTTGTGAGTAATTTCAAATGTATAACATTTCAGTTCTCTACCTATGGAAGATAAATCATCAGACCTTAGTTATGGACGAAGTATTTCTTCTTCATCTTCACTAAGAGGAGCAAGTAGAGAAAAGACCATGTAAGAAAATGTTTTATTTATACTCAAATAACTCTCCCCTTCATCTGGGAGAGAATGCATTGTTTAGATTTTAAGATTTTTGGCAATTTGCTTCTTTTTCTTCTTGTAGTCATGTAATTGCTTTTTAAGTTTCTGTAGCAAAGCTCTCAGGAAAAGTGGCTGGGAGGTCTGGCTTTCAGCTTCTCCTGTCTGCTGTGGCCCCCAGTGATCCTGACTCACATGACTGAATGTCTGTGAGCAGATCTGGTTTCCTTAGCTGTGTGTGGTGGGGTCCTGGCCCCCTGCTTCCTAGGTGCAAAAGGAATCCAATCCTGATGGATGTGGAAAGGCTTTATAAACTATGAAATGACTCACATACATTACCTTATTGTTATGTCCCGTGTGATTGGAATTGATTGTGTTTTTTTTTTCAAATGATAAAACAAAACAATAGTTCTCGTTTTAGTACTGGCTTTGGATCTCCCACAGAGCTGAAGTCAGATCCTACTTCGGGAAGAAATACCGTTCTTAGCAAAAGTGCTACTAAAGAAAAAGGACTGAGGTAGGAAACGTGTGTTGTGTTCTTCTAATTATAAATCACACCAAGTTTTAATTACCCAGCAGAGCTGGTGAAAAGGGAGATGTGGCTTTTGCGTTTTTTCATTGTTGGGGATGGTAGCGAGGCGCTCACACATGTTAGGTGAGTGTTGTACTACACCTTCAGCCCCTGAAACTTCCTGTTCACAGTGTCAAATAGCACAGAGGTAGAGCCCAGACCTAGCATATGCAAGATCCTGGCTACCACCCTGGTTTCACTTCTGAACTATGTTGAGCTACACAAGGTTCCTGAGATGTAATTTGAAAGTGCCATAAAGGCACGTAAAGGTTGCCCTTGCTGTCTCTAAAATTAACCCAGAGAGAATTTCTTCTAACTCTGGATTAAAATTCAGGTCACTCTGATCACTATTAGGAACTATAAAATCCAACAGTTGCCTTAAATAAAAAACAACAGTGACAATGAGCTCCGGACAGTCTATAAAGCCAGGCCCAGGGTAGACATCATCTTGAAGCGCTCCTGCCTCCCCAGCTCCTGTCTCTTCTGTTACCATTGCTCCCAGAAACTGAGGGGAGGGAAACTGGACATGGTGTGTATTTGTTTGGAACAATTATAATGTTCATGTTTTTTGTTTGCTTGTACTGCTGGGAATTGGACCCAGGGCCTTGCACTGAGCTACATCCCCAGTCCTTTTTGGGTTTTTGTTTGTTTGTTTTTGGCTCCGGGCATTGAACTTGGGTCCTTGCGCTTGCAAGGCAGGCCACCGAACCACTGAGCTAAATCCCCGGCCCTAGTCCTTTTTGTTTTGATACAAGACCTTTCTAACTCTCCATGTTATGCTTTGGTCCCGGCACACATTTTAAACATCCTTCCTTCTACACCTTTATGTATTTCTTTATATATTTCTTCTCCTATGAGAACTTTCCTGTATACTTGGAAAAGCCATTTGGACCTCCTGCCACATTTGATGACCCTTTAATTATTATAAAAGTAAGCCCTTATGTACCACTGAGGTATAGTATCAGAAGCTGTTTGGCACACACACACACCAAACATCTGCTTTCTACATGACTGTGCCCTAAGGTCTCCTAAGGTGGAGGCCAAGGTTTGCTCTGATGCTGATGTTCAGTCATCAGACTATTAGCCATAATTCTGATCACTGCTTCTAAGGGGCTCATTGTTCTATACCTGTTCGATTTTTACCTTCCCTTTCTGGTGGCCTCTCTGAGCTTCTCTCCCACTGTCTGAAAGCTCTTTGAAGAATATATTTTTCCCTCAATAATTTCTTTAATCCCTAGTGTTTAGCACAGTGCTTGTTTGGCTTAGTTGAGCACGGGTGTTCACTAGCACTCTGAACTTTTGCAGGAAGCGATTCCTGTTTCTGACAAATTTCACACTTAGAACCTGTGTTGTAAGCAAATAGGTCACTTTCATTTTGCCCGAGTTTCCTCATCAGTGAAATTGCAAGAAACCAGTCTGCTAGAAATGCCTAATTGGAAGGGCAAATGGAGATGAAAGAAACACAGAGCCAATTTTGAAAGAGGAGCCAGGGGGCTCTTGCCTGTAGTAGACAATGAGCCCTGAGCATATGGCTCACCTGCTTTTACTCAACTTAGGAAAGGGAGCAAGCAATTCGGTTAAGGGAAAACTCATCTATTTTTCATTATTTTCAAGGTGTACCCAGATAGTTACTTCTCTAAACTAGATCTCAGCTGTTGTTGACCTCTCTGGAACTTTGCCAGCACATTGCCAAAGGAAGATCCACTGGGCTGTGATCCTTATGTCTGGTTTCTTGTATAAAATAGAAATAAAAAGAGTACCTCCCTGGTAACGTTGTGAGGATAAAGTTATCACACCTGACATGCTTGGATTGGGGCTGGGCACAGTAGCCACTTATTGTACTTAGCAGTTATGAGGAGCCAAACCCACTCTTCTATCTTGCAAAGATAGAAAAGAACCCCCCAGAATCAGATGCAAGTATACAGCCAGCCTGCAGGGAGATAAGACCTGGGAAAGAAGGTGAGAGCTCCCTTCCCTTGTTTTCTCTACATATGCATGGTATCTTATCTACAATTGTTTTCTTCTTTGCTTCCTTTTTGCTACATCTCACCATTATTTCTAGCTTTTCTTATTTCTTTTTCATGGAACCAAATCTGGCTCCAAATCCAAAACAGCCATGGAATACATTGAGTATGGAAGCCCAGAAACAATCTAATACAATCTCCGTATCTTAGTACATATTTGTGAGACACACAGGCCAATGAAAATGCTGACTGGCTCTGAGGCAGGGGTATCCCTTTGGTCTACTGCTGTGGCCTCAGGGAAGACTCAGCCTTCTGCCCCTTGATAAGGAAGGGACAAACATCCTGCCATGTCGTCCTTCAGCTAAAGCCCATCTCTCCCACTGGTCCTTGGAGCAGTCAGCTCTTGATCTTTGATTTGTTTGTTATTCTGGACTGTTCATAGTCTTATTTTTCTTACAGCTCAGGCTGGTTTTTAATCCTAAATCCTTTCTGCCATCCTTTGGGTTAAAAGTTACTTTATGTACTTGTGAATATTAAAATGCTGATCTTTAGGCAGCTGTGATTGTTTTACTAGGATATTTGACATTGTTTTTCTCTAAAATTTTAAAACACAACTGTCTTATTGGGTCCATGTCACTTTGTCCTGTGGATAAATCCCTTTTGGAGGGGCCATTTTATACTCTCCCCACCCTTCCTAATACTGTCAGTGTTGATGTGCTCCAAGATTCTTCATTTACTCCTTCTCTTACTTTCTGTGTCTTAGCTACAACTCAGATTTCTGCACCAGGCCCTTATATGCAGTTACTGGTTTGTGTTCTCTACCCTGCATCCTTCAGGAAGCTCAAGTTCAATGTATCCCAAGCTGAACTCATTGTTTCCCCCAACTCCCAAACTTCCTCCTTGTCTATTCTCTATAGTGGTTAATATTACTCCTATTCCCAAATAATTGCCAGGCCAAGGAGCCACCCTAAAGTCCTTCTCTCTTGGTGCTTAGTGAATCTCCCAGTCCCGTCCACTCTGTGCCTTAAATGTCTCTGTGATTACTTCCTGTTTTCACTGTTACTTCTCTAGCTCAAGCCTTTATATTAGATCTCATTCATGTAACCCGCTCATTGTAAGACCTCCTGCCCACTTTTTTGTGCAGTATTGGGAGCAAACCCAAGGCCTTGTGCATGTTAGGCAGTCTACTCCTCTTCCTGCCTGTATGCATAGCTTTCCATAAATCCACCCATGATCACCCCATCTCTGAGCTACCAACTTGAGATGAAAATCTGCTCATATTGTTACTGAATCCAGCCTGTTTTGCCATCTACTCAGTAACACAAATGATGGAAATAACCAAATTTTACAAGAGAAAGGCCCCCCTCTATCGGAGATGTCCAAGCACAGAGACAGGATCCACACTCCAAGGCTAGGTTTGGGAGAGATTTGTGGGTTGAGGCATGGAGGAAGGTACCTGGAGCTTGGGCATCACTGGTGGGCTGTGCTTGTGCTCTTGCATCATGACCCACACATCAACAGTGTTACCTGCATCTCTAAAATTGGTTACTTTTAGAATTATTTGGATGCTGGTTTGGTATTCATGAAGTTTCTCAGGTGTTCTTTGTTTTGAAAGTATCTAATTTCCCCATAAATTTTGAAAGATAATTTTGCAGGATACATCAGTCTAGGTTGGAGGTTGTTTTCTTTTAGGGCTTGAAATAGCTCAGTCCAGGCTCTCCTTGACTTGAGGGTTTGTGTTGAAAAGTTTGCTGTGATTCTGCTGGGCTTTCCTTTGCATGTAGTTTTTTTCTTTTTTCTAACTGCTTTGTACTTCTGTTGGGGTTACGGGATCTTGATCATTATGTGTGTGTGTGTGTGTGTGTGTGTGTGTGTGTGTGTGTGTGTATGTAGAATTTTTTATCATGGCTGGTTGGAGTCCTATACACCTCACTTATCTGTATGTCCAATTCTTTTTCTTCACTTATCTGTGTGTCCAATTCTTTTCCTCTGTTTGGGAAGTTTTCTGCCATTACTTCTGTGAACATTTTTTTTATACTTCTTCTGCTTTTTTGTGGACTGCTATCAGTCTTATGATTTTCTTCTTTGCATCTTCTAGCAGCTGCTGGATCTATTTCTCATGATCCCTTACTATTTTTAAGAAATCTCACTTTTCATGGTCACTAAGTGCAATCCTGTCTTCCATATCTGCTATTCTGTCTTCACATTGGCTCAATCTGCTGTGAATACTTTCAGTGGAGTTTTTAATCTCCTGGATATCAGTTTGAATCTGTTTCATAGATTCCATTTCTTTCCTCTGCTAGGCATTCATGGCTTTTTTTTGTGGTCCTGAGCTCATCTTTTTTTTTTTTTTTCCTGTTCTAGAGTTTCTAATCATGTCTTTCATTCTGCTCACCATCTCTGTAGTTATCTGGTAAATTGTCTGTTTTGAATTTTTTTTATAGAGCCTTATTCATCTGTTTTGTTACTTCCTGTGCTATCAGTTCAGTGTGTCTAGGTGGATATCAGATCTTTCCACTTTGTTGCTCCTAGAATTTGCCTGTGGTGAGCTGGAAGTCTGGGTTTGTTCCTTGGTTAGGTGTCTTCTCATTTCTATTTTTGTTGGTGGTGTTTTTTTTTTGTTTGTTTAATCCTGGGCTGATACATCAATATTGATTATTGTAAATATCTTCATTGCATGTATTTAGAACACTAATAAAATAATTGCTTCTCAGAGGTGTCTTGCAGGCAGTCTCATTTTCAATACACCAGGGAGGACAACTGATTAGATCAATCATACACCTTAGCCCAATTGACACAGTCAGCATCAACAATGGCATCAAATACAGCTTAGAAAATGACAATTTGTGGTAGCAATGAAACTGTCACCTTTAACCTCATGAGCTAGGTCAAAATCGAGGACCACCCCAAAATATGTTTGTAGTAAATCCTTCAATATAGCAAATTTACCATTCTGCATAAGGATTTAGAAGGAGTTGGAGA